CTTGCAAGCCTGCTCCGTGATTAGGACCGGCTGGTGAAAGCTGGTCATTGACAGCAGATTTGACATGTGTTGCGGTTAAATCATTTTCGTGTCCCCAGAATAACGGAGAATGAGAGCCTCCCCACTCTGGGTGTGGACTTGGGAGGAAGGGGTCTGACTGGGCCGGTCAGAGGCCCTGCTGAAGGAAGGCAGCCTGGGCCCCGTGTGGGTTTTTACACTGACTGCTGTGACCCTTATCCCCGTGATGCGGGGGAGAAGCTTCCAAATCTATTCTGAACTTTGCCTCATGCTGGCGACGTGAGCGACCCAGGGAGCTGCTTAGAAGCGTGCTCCTTCCCTTCTTTGTTCCAGCAGAGGCGGCTCGTGGGAAGGGGACACTTTACCAATGGATTTGGGGGCCTGAGGAGGGATTAGATGAGTTAATTTCTTCCTACCGATAGAAGGGAAGACTGGTTGGGTCAGACGGTCATGTCGAAAGATATCTCTGTTTGACTAATAATAGCCAGCAACTGCTGAGAGGCTTTTGGGAGGGGAAGACAAATAACCAAATAACCAACGTTTGTTAGTTAGTGTGAAGATGGACAAAGACGTTGCAAAGTGCCTGTTCTTGGTGCAGAGGCCCAGATGCACTTGCTCGTGAGGACGAGAGGGCTGCTGTGGGGCAGGCCGCTGTGGTCACGCAGGTCTGGTACCTTCAGCTGGTGGCACTCTTTCTTTTTCCTCTTCCCACAGGGAAGAGGTTGCTTGCAGATGCTCTGCATTGACCCGCAGAAAGAACGAGGTTTCTGATTACTCGCTACGTATAGTCTTGGAGGGAATGTGAAGTATGGATCAAAGAGCCTAGAAATGCGCCCATCATTATGCTCCCTAACTCGGACGGTGCAAAGGACAGCGCTTCAGTTGGCCGGGAGGCTTCTCAGCCTAGGAGGAGGGCTCTGGCCCTTAACATTTCCTTGGTCTCCTTTCGCTGCTACTGATTTTCCTCCTTTACTTCCGCTTGTTTGTTGTATGCAGTTTTGGGAAGGGCTTAGGTGCAAAGGCAAATAAATAAACACTTTATTTAGGAAATGTGTAAAGAAAAAAGTCCATAAAAGACTTTAGGATCGGCTTGACTGTGGTGGGGTGCGGAAATGATGTTCTGTAGGAAATCGTGTTGAATTCTGTAGATTGATAAGACAGGACAGGGTTCGTGCTGAGGAGCAATGTGGGCGAACCTACTGTTTGCTTTCCAAAGGGGAGATGGTACTGTTGACGTATGTGTGGTCGTACAGGCCTCCGGGATTTTGTTGTGCTTCTGAAGTCTTTAAGAAAAATTTCCCCATTAAGCCGCCATTCTTATCTAGGTCCACAAACGCTGCGTTGCTGAAGACTTCTTTGCCGTCTGGACCTCCTCTCCCAGATTGCTAGGGGAAGTCTTCGAGAAGGCAGATGTGATTGTACCAGAGCCCCTGTCTGTCCTGCTCATCACTGTGTCTCCAGTGCCTCGCAGTATGCCTGGCACCTCATAGGGGCTCAGTCCATATTTATGGAGTGAATGAGGGGATGAGGGAAGGAAAGAGAAAAGGACTGGATCGAGTGAATGCCCTCTGTGTGTCTAGCACCGTGTTTGACATGTTGCAGGTACCTCCGCTCATTGTCACCTGTGGCCTCCATATGGCCGAGCTGAATTTTTACCTCTCTGTCTCCATCTTTCCCAGCCTCTCCGTAGCCGTCCTTCCTTGATGTCACTCTTCTCTGGTTTTTCCCTTGCCTCCCACCACTTTTGTTCCTCTGCTTATAAATGTTAACATGCTCCAGCACGTGGGCTTAGGTCTGCCCCTTAATTTCTATGTTTTCTTCCCAGATGAACTCTAGGAATGGCCGCAGGTCACCAGCTTTGTATATTCTCCAGCCCTGGGCTCCCAAGCTCCAGACTTGGACCTTTACTTGTACACCTGACAGTTGTTTTTTTTTTTATATATAATAAGCATCTCAACCATAAAGTGGCCAGAAAAAAATTCTTGGTTCCTTCCCCCAAACCTGTTTCTCCCACAACCTTCCCTGGGTTCCTAAGATAGTTTCCTCGTTTCTTCGATCTCCTGATTATCCACTTTTCACAAAGCAGCCAGAGTGGTTCTTCACGAAGGTGAAACAGCGCAGGTCAGTTTCCACCTGAAAATCTTAACAAGCGTTAGTAATGCTGCGTTGCGTATTTCAAAGTTGCTAAGAGGGTAGATCTTAGAAGTTCTCAACCCAAGGAAAAAAATCTTGTAACTGTGTGGGGACAGATGTTCACTAAACTTATTGCGGTGATCATTTCGCAAGATACGCAAAAACTGAATCATGTACATCTGAAACTAATACAATGTTGTATGTCAGTTTTACCTCAATAAAACAAAACAAAACAAAAAATCCTTCAGTGGCTCCCATAACACCTAAAGTTTTGACTACTTACTATGGCCTCCATAGTAAGTGGGCCTGTCTCCTCCAGCATTGTCAACGACCAGTGACCTTCTCTCTGCCCAGCCTCACGGACCTCATTTCCTTCCTGGAACATGCTAAGCTTGTTCCCACCGTAGGGCCTTTGCATTTGCTGTTCCCTTTACTTGGAACACTCTGCCCTTAGATCTGCAAATGCCTGGTTCCTCCCCATCATTTTTGTCTCTGCTCATATGTCCCCTCCAGAAGCCTCTTCTGATCCACCTCATGCCAAGTAACCCCGCCTCATTTTATTTTGTGCCGAGCACTCAGTGCTATCTAAGACTGCCCTATTCATCTATTTATTATTAGTTTCTTGGGAATTTTGTGTGTCTTATTAATGAACATATTCCCCTTCCCTCTGGGGATGCTTGGAACATAGGAGACGCTAAATATTTGTTGAATTTGTAAATGTGTTGAATCATTTAATCTTCTTGGGAAACTTGAGGCTCAGAGAAGCTGGCAAATGATTTGACTGCTCAAATCTTCAAGGCATTTATTTTCTTTTATACTATAATCTTGACAGCTGATCTATATCCTATTTGCTTTTAGTTTTATATTTTTAGTGTGAGTATAGAAAAGGAAAAAGATATGTATCAGGATGAAATTGTGTTAAAGAGCCATATCCCTGAAAGAAGATGTTCTGCAAATGTGCAAAGGTAATGGGTTTCTTGATGGCATTGTCCACCAGTAAAGGTTAGGGTAAAAAGAAAGAAGGAAAGAATCAAGGAAGGAAACTTACCTTTATTAAACAGGTAGTAGGTGCAAAGCACAAAACTGAGTGTTTTCTCGTATGTCACCTAATTTGAATCTTAAAGCAGTCCTGCAGTGTTGATACTGTTCCCCCAATTTCATTGGTGGAAAAACTGAGGCTCCCAGAGTTAAATACTTCGCTCCAGGTGATACATTTGTTCGATGACGGTGCTCAATTTTTAAAACCCAGGAGGTCTACTTGACACCCAGCTTCCAACTTTTTTTTTTTTTTTTAAAGATTTTTTATTTATTTATCTGACAGACAGAGATCACATGTAGGCAGAGAGGCAGGCAGAGAGAGAGAGAGAGAGGAGGAAGCAGGCTCTCCACTGAGCAGAGAGCCTGATGCGGGGCTCGATCCCAGGACCCCGAGACCATGACCTGAGCTGAAGGCAGAGGCTTTAACCCACTGAGCCACCCAGGTGCCCCAGCTTCCAACTTTTTTTACGCTCAGATGGTTGCTTTGCAAGATGGATATGCTCCTAAAATAGAAGAGAGGAAAATGTGAATTCAGTGCATATCCACATAGATTATAACAGATATCCGAAGCCCAGGAATAAGTTATACGGACAATATGGAAAACAGACTTCCAACATTCAGTGCCTGAGCATATAATTGGACGAATCGAATACAGCGTGAACATTTGGTTCTCTGGCAGAGCTTATGTACGGTATGACATAGAGCAGCTGTCTCCAGAGAAAGTTCTTTGTTTCTAGACCGGTGCGACACAAGCAGCATTTGAGCAATTCGGGATTTTTTTTTTTCTGCTTTCACTATAAATAGAGTTCATGGAATTCTGCATGTCAAAGTTAATGCAATGAAAAGAAGTCGCAGAATATGGAAATAAACCTTAACTCATCCTATAAACTAAGAAACATGTTTGGCATCAGGAGGCCGTAAAAACGCTGTCATTACTTGGATGGATTCTGAGGTCTTATTTAGCATATGAAATTGCAGAGCAGATCCTCTTATGTAAGGAGACAGGAGGACAGCGTAATGTGGCTACAGACTGAAGAACTTTGTGCCCTTCAGGGAAGAGTTAACAGGACAGATCTACATAGAGACGTGTGATAAGGACGAGGAAAATGAATGAATGGGTGGCGTATGTAGATGTGCCTGTGGCCGAAGCCAGGTTGCTGGATAATCCTCAGATGTCAGATTTCCGTAAGGCCAACATGTGACTCAAAGCTTGCCACTCAACAGAGAATACTGGGCTGTGCTGGTATTAAGAGGCTGGCTGGAAGCTAGGCTCCCAGTGTGCACTAGCCTAACTCCCTGTCGTTTTCTGTGTGTGGGTGGGTGTGCATGTGTGTGCGTGTGTGTGTGAGGGTATACATTTTTATGCAGTGGGTGTTTAAAGAGCTAAGCACTGAAGCTGGTTTTCCACAAACGATCATCACGAGCACTCCAGACAAACCAAACTTCCTCTCTTGGTATTTTTTTTTTTCCCCTTGCTTTCATCTTCTTCTTTTTTTTTTTTTTTTTCCTTTTTGCAAATCCCAAAGAGAGAATCCCCAACATCCAGCCTATAGGATTGAGATGATTTTCTCTCACCTGTCCATGTGGGTGCCCTCTCAAGGTTAGAACTGAAGCTATGTGGGACCGGCGTATTCTGAAGCACCAGATGAGAGGAGCTGCGTGAAGGAGTAGCAGACACAGGAGGAAGAGAGCCTCTACCCTGTTAACATGAACAGCAGCCTGCAGGTTAACCTGCCCAGAAGCTGGGCTACTTCAGGCAGCTCACTCCAGGAGAAGTCTGAGCATTCTTTTTTTCTTTTTTATTACTATAGGATGGAGGATGAAGCTGTCCTGGACAGAGGGGCTTCCTTCCTTAAGCATGTGTGTGATGAAGAAGAAGTAGAAGGTGAGCTTTGTGGGTCTGGGGAAGTGTGTATTCATAGATCTGTGTCTTCATAGATAATAGCACTCATGCATTTCATGGAGCTTATATTTTTGAAGTTAAAAACTCAAGCTTTTCTATGGGGTTTTATTAGTCTGCACATTTTGCTTCCACACAGAAAGTAATTTTAAGAACTTCATTGGACCATTAGAATCTGAATCAGTGTGGTCCTGCCTGGTTAAAAAGTGGGGGGGAGGTGTCTTACTTTTGAAGCAGGTGCCTATGGTAGTCGTGCCTTTCTGTCAAAAATAAATATTTTGCCAGTTAGTTACCACCTTGTGATGACTAATTCAGAGAAGCTGCTGGATTTATATAAATGTATTTGGCAGTATCTTCTAACACTCTTTCTTACAGCTTACAGGGGAGAGAAACAGACGTTACAGAAGGAGAATGATACCATTGTTGCAGGAAAAATGGGTATAAACTGAGGTTATAAAGTGGGGTGATCATAGATGATCCATTAAGAAATTCAATTAAGAAATAATGGATTTTGTTTTTTTTTACTTAAAAAACCTCCAGGACCTCTTTTGTTAATGTTGCTCAGTGCCTGTTAAAAACCAAATAAGAGTTAAATTTTAGTTGGTGCTATTATGCTTTTCAGCATGCCCCTCTTTTCTTGTCTCTTGAATTATCAGTAATGTGTGCATAATACTATTTATTTGATAGTGAGAAGACAGGGCTCAATTAATGTTTATTAAAGTAATTAAAGGCATTGCAGACATACAAGATGTAATTAATATTTACAATGAGATTTTAAAAAAATAATCAAAGTCGTCAACAGTACTCATAAAGTTAAATGAAACTTGCGAGTGAACTGTGTCCTATATTCTTCCCTTTAAAATCACCTGAGAGACAATTCGTATGTTTTGGAAACTCTAATCTGATTGGTGCCATTTGGTAAATGCTTAACTGCTTACTGAAAATTTGGACCAGTGTGGGGGAGGGGTTGGAAGAAAGAAGGTGGGTATTTTGTGTTCTGGAGTGATTCTTCAACCAGATTGAGCACCAGGTCCTGGGCACGTGATGCCTTCTTGTCCCTCCTGGAATAGTCAGCATAGTGTGGCCATGATGATGTTTCTCATTTTTGCTTACTAAGTTTCTTCTGACCGTGTAGTACCCTCACCCCCCACTGCCCTCTTTCCTTCATTTATGCTCTTGACTCTAATAAGAATTTGATGCCTAAGTTTCTTAGGAAAAAGGAAACTACAGTATTTTATTTCACATTGTTTTATGGGTTCCTTGCGCTTTTACAGCATGACTGTGGGAAAATGTCAAGTTAGTGCAAACAAAATAGTAAAACTTGTGTCTTAAGGTTCTTGTGCCCATGGTGTTAAGTCTCCATTGTGGTGACTCTGTCACTGTCCCAGTGTCAAAGAGAAGATAAGAATCTTTAAGTTATAGCATATGAACGTAAGAAAAATTGTAGGATTGAGTGAATATATACTTCAGGGACAATTAAAGAAGAAAAATCAGTGAGAAGGCTTGGGAATGAGATTCTGTGTGTGTGTGTGTGTGTGTGTGTGTGTGTGTGCGCGCGCGTGTATGTGTGTGTGTGTGTTTTCCTTGAGAATAATGTTCTAGCTTAGTTCACAGGAGATGTAAATCACTTCTTGAACTCGTAAGGTCCTTAGGATTGACAGCGCTCTCCTGCGATAGGATATTGTACATGGGTTTCTTGAGACTTTGACTAACAAGTTTATTTCCTGAAGTACTTCCCTTGATTTTCAAGCACAAAATTAAAATAACAATGTAATGAATAGCAGACAAATCTGCAGTCAAGTTTCTTTAAGAAAAAACAAAAAGACAACAAAATATGGTAGAAACATCTGTAAAATTGTTTGGGTTTGTGATGACGAAACTTGCCGCATGGATATTATATATTTTTGTATTCTGATAAAACTTCTGTTCTAAGATTATCTTTCATGTTGATTGGAAGACTGGGCTGATTACACTTCTTTCGAAGCATGTTTAGCTAGTTGCCTGTTACTGCATTTTGAGACCCTATAAGATGGTTGCTTTTGGCGTTATTATTTGGTGGAGAATATCCAACAGTGCAGGCTCCTCTACAGAACAAGTCTTCTTCTTCTTCTTCTTCTTCTTCTTCTTCTTTTAAAGACAAATGGGTTAGCAGGGGGAGGGGCAGAGGGAGAGAGAATCTCAAGCAGATGCCATGCGGAGCATGGAGCTGGATGTGGGGTTCCATCCCAGGACCCTGAGATCCTGACCTGCCCTGAAATCAAGAGCCGGTCATGTAACCACCTGAGCCACTCAGGCACCCCTCCAGTACAAGTCTTGGAACTATAGTTAGGGACTATGTATTTCTAATTTAGTGCCCTCTGAGTCAACCCTCCCATTTTTCTCACCTGGCTTCATCTGGTGGGGGTGGGATCCCTTCAATTTTATAGTAACTCTGGGTGAAGTATAAAGAAGTTGAAATGGAAGGTTTATGGCTTAGTTGTGGTCTTAGTGGTTGAGAATAAAAACTGTCAAGAGATCTGATAAAGATTCATAGTATGAGTGGAAATGTTTTCCACAAGGATGCCAGTCCATCTCATGTTTCTAACTGCATAGAGAAGGGTGTATTTGGAGGAAAGCAAACCATTATCTTATTCTGAAGTAGCTGAGTTTCTGGTATGTTTATGGCAAAAGTAAGTGCTCCACTTTTAAGGATCAGAAATCCAAAGGGCAAGGAGCTGGAACACCTTTCATTCCTATTATCACATGTTTCCTTTTATCCAAGTAATTTCTCTTGCTTCCAGGGTAAACATGAAGCATAATGCAGCACACTTGGCAAAAGAAAACTTAAAACAAAATTTTGTTTTTTGAAATAATTTGCACAAATAAGATATTCTCCTATTAAGTGATTATGAGCATGACTAAGGTCCAATAGTAGCTTTAGTTACTTTGAAGTGTTCATGCTTTTAAAAGTCTTCTTAGGGTCCCTTAATTTGTGATAATCAGAGTCAGCTCAGCCTGAAGGTGAGAAGAGCTAGATGCTCTCACACAGTTCCTTCTACTGCTATAGTTCTGTGAAGGGGAGAGAGACTGAGGCTTCCAACCATGCCCTCAGTTCACCTGGTTCAACTTTACTCTCAGTGGGTGTGGTGGCATGATGCTTAATCCATGGTCTAAAAACTCGATAGAAAGCCATCAACTGCAAAGCTCACTAAGAATAGAGTGAGTCAGAAGAGGAGTCATCTTCTGTTTAAATAATGAGTTTATGTGGGATATATTTAAAGACCTAAACCTCATTTTCACATAATTTCCTTCACGTGCATTTGAGTTAATGATTTAAAGAGATATTCTTTAAAAAAAAGGCAGGCAAATGCCAATTTCAATATTTAAAATAAAGAGAAGCTTTTCTATCTGTTCTTGCATTGGTTACCTTGTATCAATGTATATGTATATGTGTATAGTTTTAAAGTGAACATTTTAGTCACAAAGGGGTTACTGTAGATAAATTCATTTAAAAATTTCAAAGTTTCGGATACTCATACTTGTTTCTCTACCAAAAGATGCCAGCCCCAGACCAGGCACTTCTACAGAATTGGTCTGTAGGTACAAACTGACATTATCAGAATGACCTAGAAATGCTGGCCATGAGGTATAACACTAAATTTTCATTTCAAATGCACTTAGGGGAAATTGCCAAATTTTATTGGGTGAACCAAGGTTGAGATCGGAAGAAAGAGTCTCATGTAGCTTTTTCCAAACAGGAAATCCTATGGATGTTTTATCCTTAAAAAAGCCAGCCAAGATTTTGGATCTGTATGATATAAACAGATTACTTAATATTCTCATATTTTGCAATAGGGGAAAAGAGCAAACTCCACCTTATCCTTTGAGATAAGGCCTTGGCTCTGTAGGGCTAGGTAACTTCCCAGCAAGCCTTGGCAACTCTGAGTTTTTGAGGAGGGGCCTTTTCTTAACATCAAGTCTAACCAGCAACTCAGGAAGCAAAAAATACAGCAAGACAATATTGGCTGAAACGTGTCTCCATTTCTTAAGTGTGATCAGTGCTCTCAAAGCTATTATGATATATTGTGGTGGTTTTCCTCTTTCATTGAAAACCAAGTCCAGAAGGAAGTGTGCTCCCATCTGTCCAAATGGAAGAATAATTTTACGAATTCCCATATCAACTGATGGACATTAAGAGCGAGAATTGTTAAAAATCCATGGAGTTTATGGGAGGATTATTTTTAGGGAAATAGAAGTAAAGAGGTAGAGCAGGGTCTGGAACAGAGTAGATGTTTACTAAATATTTGTTAAAAGGAAGAATTGAATACATGAATATATAACATAAACTCAGTAAAGCATATGCAGAATTATCTTATATAATCCTCTAAAGTCTTTGACGTTTCAGTGAGAAATTTGGTTCCATTAGTGCTCTTAATCCAATGAGACAAAATAGCCTCGAAAGGTCCCGTCCTTGCTCTGGTTGCTCTCTGATTTTGAAGACACCATTGACATTTATGTTGTTTGTGTATCTATATTGATAGGTAAAAGAGGCCCCTTAAACATGTCTGTGTCACTCTCTTCCCTCCTACGCTGTCTTTTGAAGACAGAAACTAAACTAATGAAATGGTGATGTTTGCCTTTTTGGAGGTCAGGATCTTAACATTTTACAGACATGAGATCACAATGACTTAACCCCATATTTCACCAGAGGATATCATGATGACGTATTTATGTGTATTGGGGGAGGTGGCATTCTAAAGAGAAAGTGGGGCCGCGTGGACATTTCTTAATAATTACAATGGTGAAAAACATAATTGCCGAGAAGGAGTGAATGAAAACCTATCGGATGGGAAGGGAGGGGCCGAGTCGGAGCTGGGGCTATTCTGAGCACTGGCTGCAAGTGTCCGGTTGCATTTTGCTGACCTCTTCTCTGCTGTTCAGTCTGATTGTCAGACCCTGTGTGCACAGAGGAAACACTTAGACAAATATTGCTGAAGGAAAAGGCT